GCCGGGGGGCTCTCGAAATATCCAGCCCCACGGAAACTGTGACTGTTGTGTATTTTAAAGCGTTGTTTTGTGTATTTATCCCTTTCCCTTGTTTATTGTAAGCCGCCCGGAGTCCTTCGGGAGTGGGCGGCATACAAGACCAATAAACAACAGTTCAAAAATAGGTACTCCCACTATTGTATCAACTACCATCAGATGCATTATGAGAATAATAGAGTTTGTATAGAGTTTAAATATCAAGTGCCTTTATATTTAAAAAACCTAAGTTGTGCGTGGTGCCAAATTGCTAAGTAATGCGGTTTTAAGAACAACTTGATGAAGGAAATGATTCAACATTGGCCATTACGTAGTACCAACCAGAGACAAAGGCTTACGGTAACAAGTCAGTTAGACTTTGTTATGATTCCAAACAGTAACCATGTTTACCATACAGGCGTTTTCTTCCTTTGTTTTCCCTTCATAGACCCAATTCATTTGTGATCATCACTGCTAATCGTGTTCTACACTGCAACGCAGATACACCAGAGGAGATGCATCATTGGATCACTCTGCTACAGCGATCCAAAGGGGACACTCGGGTAGAAGGACAGGAATTCATAGTGAGAGGTAAGAACTCAAAAAAAGGAATCTCCTACAAAAACAAGTTTCATTCCTTGCTAAAATCTGATGATACCAAATTGACAAAGAACAAAAATTTATTGTTTTTTCCATGTTAATCTCTAGAACCACCCTTTTCATAAAACAGGATGATATGTATTTATCTTCAGCATCAGATTATGTTGGGTACCATAAAATAATAGCAAAACAAAAGTAGATAGTTACAAGCTAGATATAGCTGGTTGAGCAATACCTGCACAATTAGCAAATTGGTTAACTGGTGGTTAACTGGTTGTGTTAAAATTGACTGTTTGGGAAACTGTTAACTAATTTTATCTAGTGTTATAGCTTGAGAGACTAAAATCAAATGAAATTTCTGAAAAATAGCCAGAAAATGAATTGTATAATTCTTTGATGTTAGTATTAAGCTGGAATTCACCACTGCAAAATCATTCACCTAAACTAGAGGAGATTAGTTGTCTATCTCCTTGGTTTTTGGAAAGACTATGGCATAGGATTTTCTTCATTTACATGATAATTGGTTAAATTCTGAGAGCTGAGGTGGCGCGGTGGTTAAATGCAGCACTGCAGGCTACTTCAGCTGACTGCTAGATCAGCAGCACAGCGGTTCAAATCTCTCCGGCTCAGGGTTGACTCAGCCTTCCATCCTTCCGAGGTGGGTG